CACTTTGACACAAACACCATATGGAGAGCGTCGTGAGAATAAATCTGTTCGTAAGCTTTTCCCATCTGTTAAACGAGACAAAAAGTACAAAAAATCTTCATTTTTATAATTATGCATCCTGCATTAGTAAAGTAACTATGTCCTAATATCAAAAGTTTTTGTTTTTAATTCTGCGAAATATTTTGTCTATCTTAATTCTAGTATGGAATGGATAATATTTGGTAATTGTATAACTCAAAGTAATAACAGAAAAAATTAGAAACCGTTGCTAGCATAAATATACGAACAGTATTTATTTCACACCAGCACATTACGATAAACACTTGGCTATTTTTATTTCGGTATGTAGAAATTGGCATAACTATTCTGTGTTTAATTTTTTTTTAAATCATTAGGTGGCAAACGAGCAAACGGCTACCTGAATCCGCCAAAATGGCGAAGCGACCGCTGCCCATAGACATTCGCAATAGCGGATGCGTTGCCTTCCCCAATCGACGAAGGAGACGCACATAAAGCGGATATTTCCCCTTCTATACGTCTCCTCCACCGTCAAATCCACGTTCAAGGTAAAGGGACAAAAGTTTGGCCTCCTGCACCAGAGCCTTATAAGAAGGCATGATTTATTACAAAATACGATTTTAGGTACTGAAGTGGAAAAGGCAACCAGATACTTGTTTTAAAATGATTTAGAACAAAATCATCGAAGACATTTCATTATCAAGAAGCACATTCCATCCGACACCCGAGAAACAGAATAGATATCAATGATAAGATAACGTAAGATTTAATGCCACGGCTAGACCAACGCGAGGCATAGTCACACAATCAATGCAAATATGCGAAATACCAAGTGCAAAACAATTCGGTTTACTAGTAGTACAATTAATCGATTATTTATTTACAAGAATGCATAATGTGAGAATAATCTAATGTCGATGTATAAACGTGTATATTGTAAGTATATACGGGTGTAATATGCACTGATACGTGATAACAAGACGAATCTTTTAGAAAAGCGAGGAAGAACATGCATCTATTAAGGTGACCGTCTAACGATGAAAAGCAGCCTAGTTATATAATCTCTTTCTACAATTATACAAAATGTGGCATGTATTTTTAAAATTACGAGTAACTAGGCCGCTTTTAATGGTTAAACGGTTCTGTAACCATCATTTTTGAATAAGTTCATTCGTGAATAAACTCGACCTGTAACGGTCGTATGCACTCGACATCTTTCTATGGCAAGAACCTAGATTAGTACTAAGCTTGAGCCCTTTTAAGCGTGAAAATAGGAATTGCTTATTAACATCTTTCTCGGTCTTGTTTTAGAATGCTCATACATATCTAATTACATAAGTGAAACATGGGCAATACAAAGCAGGATGTATGCACCTATGATTAATACTGGGAATATATTATTCTCGAGATATTCATTTAATTAACATACCAGATAACGTTATCAATCCGAGTGACTAGTACGTTAATAGAAATTATATCGGTCAGCGAGTGTCAATACAATTTATCAATAACAATATTATATTCTAAGTGAATGGGGACCTGTCATTGCGATAAAACAATATTTACTGTATTATTGGAAATAATTTAAAAAAAAAAACATCCGACAGAGAAATAATCTCAAGCATGCACATATTTAAAAATTTAAAAAAAAATTAAAAAGAACATCCTATGTTACTAATACTAACAGATAAATTACCCTTCTAACGATGATAGAATTTTTAAAATCGGCCTACTACTTTTTGAGTTCATTTTGATTTCAATACTTATACAAAATACAAATCTTTCCTCTTTACAATATTAGTATAGATATAGATAGATTTCTAGAGGTGAAAGAAATGCATACATATGCAAATAATACTGTTTGTAAAACTCTTCTGTAGATTTAAGATAAACGATACTCGGACTTCCTGTCTTCTAATTATGAGTGTACACATTATGTTTCACGTATGAAATATCATAAACAAAGGCCGTGAGGAGCTGCGGCGCGCCGTTGCGAACATGTAGGTCACTGACAATCGGCAACGTATCGCATAACAATTATCGTAATCTTTTGCAATCTCATTACGAACCGACAATCCGCACAACGTCATTAGATTCTTCTGCGCCGAATATTCTTTGAAAACATTGACTAGAATGTTACATTTGAGGATTATCAGCCAGAATAATCAGATACAAAAAAAAATCCTCAATTTTTATTCGTTTCATAAGTAGAAATTAAGACTAAGCCCTTGTCATTCATACTTCCATTACGTCACTTTCACAAAGCAAAGATGAAATATTATTAGTCGTTAGATTTTTTTGCAAAACGATACTGCGTTTAAAATCATATGTACCTATATCATTATGGTATAATTACTATAATGAGTAACATACCTACTTATCGTTGTAAATAAGTGTATAGTTTTCAATTTACAGCAGTAATTTTATCTAAGGCACTTGATCAAGACTGATTCATAGTTTACCAAGACGATTAAGAATACTTTGTGAATGATATCATTAGTGGAAACTTTTTAACCAACAAAAACCACCAAAGAAATCACCAAATTCACATAGAACATAAAAAAACATTATAGACATGATTCCCAACATGTTAGAGATATTTTAACATTATAAACGATTGATGGAGGATATTCAAATATCATCAAAAACAATGTTCATATAAAGATTTGTAACAAAAACGGAAGCGTATTTCGGTCAAACGGACGCTTTATCTACATAACTTCTGTTTGAAGCAATTCAGTAAAAATTTAAAACGAGATTGTCTAGGATAAGATTACTCTTGTCACATTTTGAATTTGCCAACGATTGACAAAAAGCGACTTCTACCCTTTGAAGGGACAAGATAGTTTCTTTTTGAGTATTTGAAATCTAAACCTGAATAATACTTTACAACAAAATTATCAAAAAAAAATTAAATACACTATGTATTTCAAAATAAAAACAAATCTTAATAAAAATCGTCGTAATATGCAATTCTAAAATGGCTTTAATTAAAAAAAATATCTATTCTATTCTATTTCTTGTTTATGGCTCTTCCTCAGCGGATTGGGCCAGTGTCAAATAAAAAAAATTTAATGAATGGCACATAAAGTTGCAACTTGTTCAATAGTCATTACACAGAAGTGGAACATCCAGACACTAAGCTCATTAAGAAGTGAGTGCAGTCTGAACTTTTGCCTTTTGACCTTTCCTTGAGTGTGAAGCTAAGAGCCACAGAATGCGGCCGTAATAAGCACCACCTACATTTATCGACGTATTACATTTTGCAAAAGATATGATTCATTTCAACAGTTTGTATCATCAGTGATTACAGCAATCAATACAGGAAATGTAGCAGAAAGTAACAGGAGCAACAATTTAAATCTATTGTTATTTTACTGTTTATTTTTCGAAGAATATTAAAGAAAACAATTTTATGTGCACACTTAAACAATACAACGTTATTTTTATCTTTAAAATATTGCATTTAAACACTTTACGCCTAAGATATTCGAGCGGATTGTCGCCACGATAATGGTACCAATGACCTTTCGCGATAACATTAATTTTTAATTTGTAACGATTGATTACTGAGTAGATATGATATACAAAATAAACATTATTAGTCTGTTTGTTTAATACTAAAACATAATGATTTGGCCAAGACTTGACCCTAATGCATATTTGTTGGTTAAAGCTTCTTAAGCAAAGAACTTGAACCTGAATATTTAACAAAAGTTACGTGTGTGACATACCATTAGGGGAGTAAACTCGCAAGTTGATAGGCACAGGAGAAATGCCCTTGTTGCTGCCGGTCACCCGATCCGTCTCAGCCTCGATCTCCCCGCGCACCTCATTGAAGTCCGTGAACTTCTTGCCCTTGCAGTGCAGGAACTCGGCGTATTCTGATAAATATGAAATACATATATAATATCCGATGCACACTGGTTAATTGAGCAAATAACATGATGGGAAACAAGGGGACCAGGGATTGTTGATTACCGTTAGGGTTGTCAATAAAATGAGAAAGTTGAACTCTCAACAAAATCATTGCTTTTATATTAATCGATTTAAAATATATAGGTAGCTATATTGCAAAAGATCAACAACAACAGAAGTAAATTTTGTACAGGGCTACAGAGCACAAAAGTCGATTAAATGTATCTCATGTTCAACATCATAACTTGATATTTGAAGCTTATGTGCTCAGCCCTGATGACACACCAGTGATGTGGTCAGATGTTAGGTAGTTGACACCAACAGCTCTTGTCTATATCCTGGCAATAAATATATTAGAACCAAATGATAACTTCATATTATTATATATGCTTTTCAATAGATCTAATATTACTTTAATGTAAACTCTTTCTAAAATACTCTTTTATGTGTTTAAATGTATCCAAAGATAATGATTTTAAAATATTACAAATGTACCTGCATTTCCATGTATGAGCTGAAGAATTAAGGGTCTCCGAGTTACTATTCCCGAACCTCGTGGCAAGAAATCCCTGAAGAAGAATAAACTCTAAATATAACACTAACAAACAATATGACTAGTAGAAACTGGTAGTTGCAATTTTTATTATTTTTATTTTACTTATTAAATAATATAAAATTTTAGTATGACAGTTACATGAATATAGTTGTTACCAATTATGAATAACATATTTTCCACACAACATTGATCAGTTTGTAAACCTATTTATTTTAGCACAAAATTTACTGTCCTTAATCTTTTGCAGCCGAAAACTAAGTTGTTTAATAAAGGATTTAAGCAAAATTACATAATAAAATAAAAATAAATCAAAACACCCTAAACAATAGACAACACTATGGACATTAAACAAAAAATGTGAAGTACAGGTACATATTAATTCAATTAAAATTTTTAAATAATTATTTATTGTAAGTCTTTTTATTAAATTTTAATACATTACATTTATAAACAGCATCTTTCATTAAGTATTAATTCCACCAGTTAATTTATAATCTCTAATTACATGTTACTTATATAAAATAATATTGATTTTTAGAGTTACTTTAATACTTGGTTTTTCAACACTATTTATACTCATTCTTTATTCATAGCTTCAATGTATCCCTAAATTATGATTTGGCTTTCCAGCATTGAAATTATCAACCTATCGTGTAAAATATTGGCTTTAAGCCTATTTGTTAACTGTATTCAAGCCTCCAATGCATAAGATGAAAAAAGTGCTACACTTTTAAAACAAAAAGAACATTTTGTAATTTCTTTTAAGAGCAATATATTAATTGGAAAACTTGACCTGTTGTAAAAAAATGTTTATGTTGTACTTATTAATTAACTTTACAAGTTTGTCTTTTTCTTGAATTTTTTTTAAACTTGAAAAGTTTTTCTTGAATGTTAGGTAAAACTTTAATAAGGTGTTTGTAGTTGATGTTATCTAACTAAACCTCTTATTGGAATCCATTCATAAACCTTCATTAATTTAATCATGTTTAACATTAAATGTATTAGCCAAACCCAAAAAGAATAATCATTATAAAATTAACAAAACAATCCCCGAAAGTATTGAATTTGAAGGATGTATTTTTCTGGATTTTGTTATTGTCTGTATCAAAACAATGACATTACTTGGCACACAAAATGTCATGAGTCTGTAATCTTTAAGTATTTAATCTTTTAAAAAAATCAATCAAGTATTGGAAATGCCATATAAATCGATATCATAAGATAAATAAATTTAAATAAGTTACATGTAACAGACTATTCCAATAGTTATCAAATAGTTGTTAAATGATAAACAACAAGGGATTTAACAAGATTTTTGAAACGATTTATATCTAACTAACTTTAAAAATTATTGATTTGGCAATGTTTATAATTTATAAACTCACCTGCCGACAAAATTTTCTAATACCGAACTTTTTCCTGCCGATTGACCACCCACAACTGCAATTTGTGGAAGGTCCAAAGACATGTGCACTCCCATTTGCACGAATGCATCTTGTAATTTGTTTACTACAGGGATTAATTGCTGCATTCCATAATTCCCAGACATTTTCACTAATATACATTAATGTTATACCTCTTCGAAATCACTAAAACTTATTCATCCTCTATACATCACATCATCGATAAACTAATTTATTTTTCAATATGGTGGTAGGTGGGTGGTGGTTATGGTTTTGGCATTCCGTTTTACACATTTTTTTATAAATAACCCAAAATTGTTAAATAATGTTAAAAAAAATAATAAATTCGGCTTATATAGTGGAAAGGGTTTTTGTAGTGTTTTTTTCTAGAGATAAATCTATTTTTAAATAATTGCTTTTGGATCAATCAGACAATAATAAGGAAGCTTTCCCACTTCAAGATATAATAGATCAATACTATTCGACATGCGCACATTATTTAGGCCACGATGTGCAATATGTACTTCTTCTGTACCATTTTAAAATTTACATTTCTAATTGCACTATCCCTTTACCTTAATGGTAATTACTTTTAGCTAATAGAAGCTGAACGAATCCTTCTACGAGGTGGATGACGATCTGGTCAAGGTTGCGAGATTCCGCTAAACATGGGCGTCAATGCACATAACTTTAGAATTAAAACTAGGATTTTATATTTTTAACAGTGGAAAACTTTAAATTGATGATATTGATGACAATGTATTACATTTCATTATAGCAAGCAATCAATTTGGAAAATATATATTCATGTGATTTTATCGTTACTCGTATTCTTCGATAACTGTTACGTGAGCATGTCTCAAACATAGTAGTATTTTTGTATTGTTACTTAACTTATTTCGTTTTTTTTGGTAAAAAAAATTGAATAAATTACGATACAAAATTATAATTGTGTAAGGTAATCTTTTGTGTAAAAAGTAAAAGAAATGGTTTGGTAAATATCATGAAAGCCCTTTAATTTGGGTTAATACTTACTTGCCAACGAAATTTTCTAAGACAGAACTTTTGCCAGCAGATTGTCCACCCACCACCGCAATTTGTGGCAGGTCTAATTGCATATGCACACCCAGTTGCGTGAAGGCATCTTGCAATTTATTAACAATAGGAATCAATTGCTCCATTCCTATGTTACCGGACATGGCTGCCGGAATTCTGGAATACTTCTGGTTTTGTGAGGTTCTCCGCAGATATCAGACTACTGATTTTTAGTTCATCAATACGATGCAAAGCTCGTTTTGCGCAAGCGTAAACGAGTATCGGGTCATGTATTTTTTACTTACCTTATTATATGTATATATGTAACCAAACATTAATCCTTACTATTATTTTATTGAGTGAAATAAAAATATATTTAAAGTGTTTCTCAAATGCTTAACAAAAGCTATGAACAAGTTTTATTCTAAAGTTAATCCTAAACATACGTGATATATGATATTTAAACAATACAGCACAGTATTTACTATTGTTTTTCTCTTGTTGCTTTTAAATATTTTACACCGAAGAGCTAAGTTTAAAATTCCATTTAGATATGGCAATTTATAACTTTTTATTTTTTTATTTTGAATGCATTTTGTATGTTTTCAAACTTGTCCGACAGGGTGCGCTTTGTTGCGTCTTTGTGACGTCACTCTATTGATTGTGAAGGAAGGAGATCGTCTTTTGGAGACGCCATCTTAAAATAAAGTGATATAAGTTTTGGTAGCGTAGGATATAGAAAAAATCTAAAGTAATCCCCATTAAATAAACTTGCATTTGTCTAAGACATTTTTTATTTCGTATTATTCGATATAACGGACCAAGGTATATATTTATTTCGTTTTTGTTGTTTCAATTACTAATAAAAATTAGTTTATTTACCGTTTTCTACTAGTGTAGAGTTTGTACCGTTATTATGGTTTATATTATACTTTGAAGTGCGGATGAAACGGGTGTGAAAGTTAAATTGTAAATTCTAAAATCTCTAGTCATCGATCCAGCGTCTGTTCAGCCTACGGATGTAACACGTCAATATACTTCGGAGGGCAGGGCTTAATATACTCCCTTCATTTGAATTGTGAAAGTATTTCGACCATATATTTAGACAGTGAATACGTGGTTAATATTAACACTATAATTAATCACCAAAAGTATGTTTAAAGTGTAACAGTGCAGTGTAAAAATTGTTTTTATATTGTTGAAAATTACGAAGGACAAAGAACTGTAGTGACTGTTGTTTTAAGTTTGTGCAACGTCGAGTGCATAGTTTAGTGTTTAATACCGATTGCATTGGTTGCAGTTGGTGGTCGGTGAGAGGGTGTTCTCCTGATGGTGTGTACATCGCAGCATGTCTGCACTCTCGACGCCGGGCGGCGGAGGAACTACGGCGCAGAGCAAGCCGACGTCCGGCAAGCAAAAATATCAAAAGTTGGACATCAATAGTTTGTACTGCGCCAACAGAGTAAGTTTTTCTGACCTTCATTTTCTAACTTCCGCCATTGTAACCCAATTTATTTATTTATTTAATATGGAAGAGAGCAATCTTTTCTTCCGCGACAGTAATTAGATTTGTAAGTAATGAAATAAAAATACGTAAATATTCATTATATGAACTTAACTAGTTGTTTATAAAATAAACACTATAGAAAAAAAAAATTATTTCTTCCAGACAAAATATCGTTTCTTTTTTTAACATAATGGATTGAATAAGTATGATTATTTTTTTATAAATATGCTGTTTCTTGTAAATCAATGTTGCTTAATTTTTTTTATTTTATTTAACTGACATTTTGTATCATTGCATAAAATCAAGCAAAATGTAACACCCAATGTAATGTTATTAAAACATATTTATAATCTATAGTAAATATTTTGTAAAATTGAAAACTTTCATTTATAAAACAAAAGATGAAAAATACCAATTTGTCAATACAGTGCCATTGCTTATTTCAGAACGAAAGCTCAGAACCGTCCTCAGTTAAATCTCAACTAAGCCGCAAACATGGAATGCAAATTCTTGGAAAAGTTCCCTCTGCTCGGCGTCCACCAGCTAACTTGCCTTCTTTGAAAACTGAAACCGGACAAGACTCAAACATCAAGTGAGTCATTTCCATATACTTACATATTTATTAAACATGCTCCATAAAAAAGAGCTTCAATGGATTGTTACCATTACAAAGGATAAATAAAATTGCATTATAAAATTTTGGTGTACAATTTCCATACTTTGTATTATACTGGATAAAAAATATTTATAACAAGCTATGGTTTTGAATACCATGTTGTGGTATCTTGAACAATGTTTTTAAACAAACACAATAATCTGAGGATAATTTCATTTTAATGAAATTTTGTTATGTATTTTGTACTATTTCAGTTCCAATACTACTACTACCACAACAGTATCAACACCGGCAACATGCACTTCCCAAACAGCAGTAAGTATTACAATATAAATTCAGTAATTCTACAATTTTATGAAACTGGAGTAATTTTATTAATACTTTTCTAGTCTACAACAACGAACAGCGGTGTTGTTGCGGGCTCAGCGCAGGGCGGCTGGGTGCCTCTGCCACCACCTTCATCACCACACTTTCGCACAGAGTTCCCCTCTTTAGAGGCTGCCGCTCAACCCTCACACCGAACTACAGATGTTCCAGCCTCACAACCACTATTAAGACCACAAAGTAAATATAATTTTTTTTAAATGTTATTTAAGGACATGTTGCATACCTGTTTATTTTAAAGTAAACAGGTGAGTAATATTAGGATATTCATGTTTATTTAAACAAAGCAAATTTTATTTAAACAAATAAGCTATCATTGTAATAAACTCTAGTTTATTTCTATGTTCAAGTCACAAAATTTAATTTAGTATACTATTGCTTTAATTATACTAAAAAACACATTTACAAGAAAGTGCATTTAAACCGGTTGTTAGTAACTTCACTAAGAACATTTATTTACAAGCTAAATGTTTGCAAGGTTGCATTTTTTTGTAACTTATGTAATCAAGTTTGTTTAGTAAGTGCTTTAAAAAATTAGTGTGTGTGTGTTTATGCAGTAGTTTATATTTTTTAATGCAAGCAATATTCATTATCACATTATGGAGGTCAATGCATTTCCTGCATTCACAACCTTCAATGTAAACTTTGATTTGTTGTACTGGAATAAGTCAACACAATATTTAGAATGAAAAATGTTTATTAGATAGTTTTATCTAAATAAATTTTATAAACCACTAAATCAATATGTCTGATAATATATTGCCATGGATTGCACAACTGTGTGAAATTTAGACACATGTTCACCTTAAAGTTTTAAAGGGACATATTTAGTTCTAGCATTGCTCCATTATTAAAAATAATTATAATTGGGTTATGTTATTATTTCTACACAATTAGTACTACTCATTACTCTCATTATTGTACTTTAAAAAACTATTGTATCTTTCTGATGTTTCATACATAAAGGTCATTTAAATCACTAAGGCATAACTACAAAAGACCTACTCAATGCTTTTTACATCAATTATTAATAATTATTTAGTGTTCTCTGTATCACTTTTTTTAAGTGGTGATGTAAGAAGTTATAAATATTATAGTTTTACCAAACAAAGATTTTTTCATATATCTCATTACTGTAAACTCTGTAATACATAAATTCATAATATGCTTTTCGTAGTTATTAATAGTAAATAAATGTAAATTTTTAGCGGAAGGCAGTTGGACGTGCGGTGGGACGGCAGGCGTTCGTCAAGAAACTACATCCTCTCCCGCCGCCG